CAAACATAATTGAAACAAAATGCATAATATGATAAAGCTAAAAATAATCATTATAGGATGTAATAAAATATGTCTTGCTGCAGAAGCAACTGAAGTTTTTCCCCACATTGATACAGTACGTTTAGATTTTGACCACCAAGAGTGACCTGAAAATTCAGACCACTCATGTTCTTGCAAGTTCCCTTGTTCATGTTTAAACAATATTTCTGCATTTTGGAGTTCATATGATAAAGCTATCAGTAAACCTTTATCTTTTTGTATAACGTTTGCCCAATCTTTCCAAGGGAATTCATCCACCTGAGATATATTGTACTGTATGGGAAGAGCACTTACATTTTTCATAAGTATGTTTGCAAATTCATTCTCATCCCATTAACACTTATTGCTAAAAATATATCCTTCTATACAAAACAGACCTCAACTTAAGTTTTCTGTATGCGTACAAGAAGAGAAGAAAGATTTAACCCTTTCTGAGTTTGACATAACTTGGAAACAAACCTTTTTATCTAAAATTGAAATTAACTCAGAAGTGGTTTTAACCTTTTCTATCCTTGCTGAACACAAAGTATGGTCATGATAACAAGAATTAAATATACCTTTATCTTGATTAGGTAGACAAATAACTTTAGACTGCAATTGTAAACATGAAGACAGATCTAATTGTTTTAACTTGAAATTATTATCATTAAATGCAAAATCTGTATATTGTAGTTGATAATATAGTAACTGTGTATTGCTAACAGGTAATCCCAAGACAGTGATTGGAACCAACGTTTGTTCTTTTCCTGCTACGGGAATCATTAAAGAACTATAACATATGTTCTGATAACATCCTATCCATTTATTTACCCACAGATCTGTATGATTTATTGCATATGCATACTCTCTGGGTACATTTTGTACAATACCTAGAGGAGTTATTCCACTTTGAAAGGCTTGAGCTATTATTTTAAAATTTGTGGAATATTCCATCTGGATTTTTAAACATGCTCTGGCTATATGGGAATGCTGTTCACTTGTCATTAAATTAAGAGTAATATTCTGTAAATGTAATATAGATGGACCCATAATATTAGCTGTTTTAATCACCATATTCTCCAATATCTGATTTAAATTTCTTTGTACCTTAATGCTATTGCTTCCCACTAAACCAGCTGTCTCGAGATCAGACTTTAATGTACTAATGTCCATACTATTTGTTATACTTCCAATAGTACCTACCCCTCCTAAAATACCTTCAACTATACCACGCTTATTCCTGAGGATTTTTAATATTAATTCCAAACCATCTTTCAATACCTAGTTCCATATTAACCAGATGCTCTTGACATTTTTGAAACCTTGTTGAGATTTTCCATTCTTAAATATTGAAGTTCCACAATATAGTAACAAACTTTCCTTCTCTTAATAGGAGTCTGGTTTGGAAATGGTTAATTTGGAAAGGACTAGCTGAATACATTTCTTATCTGTGCACTGTATTTTTTTAGGGGATATCACAATTACTTTTCTATTTACACATTTCATTGGATAATTTTCTATTGATATGCAGCATTCATATATACCTGTGTCATTAACAGATAGATATATTGTTTTGATGATACACAAATTTATCATTATCCGAGTTCAAATTACTAAAAATACTTTTATGGATAATATCAGTTTTATAGTGATGAAAACTGGCCAAAAATTCACCATTTCTCTTCCAAGTTAATAATGAATTTTGAGGTAGGCATATTTGTGTACTACACATCAAATTCAGATTATCCTCTCCTTCTATGAGTCTTAAAGATTGAGGAGATATTTCTATCTCTGGGACAATCAAATTACCACAGTAACAATTACTTTGACTTTAGTATGAACCAAAGCTCTTGCTACTTGTAAATCCCATATTTTAACTATGTCCTCTTTTTCATTCCCATTTTATATTCAGATGTTCGGGATCAAGAAATTGTGAATACCTTTGTAATTGATACCAAATATCTGCTTTAGAACTTTCTAGTTCCCCAGAATTTAACATATCTCTTGTAATATCTCCTGACCAAATAGTAGGCTCATTTCCTTTTAAAACTATTGCCCAGAATCCCATATCTGATAAGTTACATTCAAAGATACTAGTTTTGTTATTGATTATATAAGTTCCTTGCATTTTAACAAATTTTGATTTAGACTATTTTAGCTCTTACTTCAATATCATTACTATGAATGAAATACAATTCCATACAAAATGTTCTTCCATAGCCTATGCACACATATCCTAACAAGTCTTTAGCTGTATTAATGTCACTGTTCTTTGCAAAAAATCTTTTGTTCCTAATAAGTGTAATGTCTTTCTTGTGTAGGGCTTCAATCCTGTTAACCTCTGCATTGCTGGAACAGTTTATGATGTATATTACCACTGATGTAATTGTCACTAGAGAAAAGATAAATCCTGTGATAAGTCTTTTCTTTTTACTGCTTTGTTTTTCTTTATGTTCTTTTGTTGTAATTGTTACTTCTTTCTGGAATCTGCGATTCTTTTTCTTTTCCAGATTTTTGAAAACCATTCCTGTAAAATAAATGCAGTATCATTATCACAGCATAAAAAAATTTACATTGGTCGGTGTGCATCCACATTTTTTGTTGTCTACGAGCACTTTTCACTAAATCGAGAGGTCTTTGAACTTGTACCATTACTCCTTGAACATCCAAAATATCAAATGGACCTTCCCCATTGCTTTACCATGGTCCAGTTTTCCTGAAAGTTTTTATCATTACTTGTCCTTTTTAAAACTTTGAAGAGTGTGGAGGAGCCATTTTTTGCATGCGAGTAGCTGCATGTGGTACAATGGTGTTCAGATTGTCTTGCAACATCTGTAACCACTTTGTTTTTTCTATTGCCTCTCTTTACAGTGTAGACTAAAAAGGTTCATGGGGAAACACAAGCAGCAATTTCCTTCCTGTCATTAACTCTAAAGGAGAATACTGTGTTGCAGAAGATGTTGTATTTCTGACACTCATCAGAACCAATGGTACAGCATCAACCCAAGTATTTCCTCTGTCCAATAACTGTCACATACCTGATGGGAGACTGGAACGACGAGGTCGGCCTCACTTGTGTCACTAGCCCTGACCCCGCTGGAGTTGGAACAGAGGGAGTCTAGTACCCAGGGGAACAAGAGTGCCAGTAGTTGTTGTTTGCAGCTCTTGCAGATGATGACCTTGGAAGGCTGATGATCCTCTGATTTTGGCACAGTAGTAGTAGACAGAGCAGGTCTTGTAGATTGCCAGGCATGCACCAGAGCAAGGCAGGTAGTGAGGACAAGAGACAGGAGCAATGTCATGGAATAGCCAGGGTCATCAACAGTCGAGCAGCACGGTACAGAATCAGAAGGAAAAGCCAAGGTCAGGAGCAGAGCCAAAGTCAGGAACCAGTATCAGTGGTGATGTAGAAGGCCGAATAAACCCTTTTTCCAGACTCTCATCAAGGACCTCTAATTCAACTTCGGATAGGGGGTAAATTCGTCCAAAAGGAATTTCGGCGCCGGGCAGGAGCTCAATCGGACAGTCATAGGAACAATGAAGAGGAAGAGTATTGGCACTCTTTTTATTGAATACGTCCAGATACTCATGGTATACCACAGGAACGAGTTTCATGATCTCGGGATCAGAGTGAATACTGAGAAGAGGGGTTGCTGCGCTTGTTTCTTTAGGAATACAGTGATTCAGACAGTATTCTGAAGGGAAGAGGATCTCTCCAGACAACCAATTGATGGTTGGGTTGTGTGCTCTTAGCCAGGGCATGCCGATAATAACTGGAGAAATCAGGGAGGTAATGATATCCAGACATAGAAATTCCTAGTGTCCTGAGGGGGAGTAGCATAACATTGGCATGGTTTCTTGTGTCACAGGGCCAGAACTGATACCGGACCCATCTGCAAGATGAACTGCCAGTTTTTGTGCCTTGGCACGGAGTGGAATCTTATTCTGGGTAGCGAAGTTAGCATCCATAAAACAACTACAAGCACCCGACTCTATAATGGCCGGGACCGTGATTGTCCTTTCGGCCAGTCGTAGTTGAAGTCCTCCATAACCCTCCCTCTCTATCCTTCTCTTCTTTTGAGACTCACTGCATCTGGCTGTTTTCTCTCATTTCTCTGAGGATTGCAGTGATCTATCGGCCTCCTGGACCGGTGTCCCGCTTTCTTGATGATTTCTCCACCTGGCTACCCTACTTTCTCTCCTCTGAACTACCCACTATCATTCTCAGAGATTTTAACATCCCTATTAATGTCAACAATCCGGCTACATCCCAACTCTTCAACATAACCTCATCTTTTGCATTAGCACAATGTATACAGTCCTCCACTTACTCTGATGGGAATACATTAGACCTTGTTTTCTCCCGTCTTTGCACTCACTACAACCTCACAAACACCCCCTCTCCTCTCTCTGATCACAATCTCATCACCTTCACAGTGTCTTCGTCTTCAAACACCTATCCTTCCAAGCAGCAAACAATTACCCGCAGAAACCTTCACAACTTGAACCCTGCTGCTTTCCACTCTGCAACTGACCAACTCTATGACAGAATCTCTCCCCTGTTCTGCCCTGACCTAGCCACTGCTGTCTATAACAGTTCGCTTTCATCCACATTAGACTCACTTGCTCCTCTAACAACACAAAGCTTCAGACCACGACCGTTACAACCTTGGCAGACTGACAACACCAGAAATCTTAAACGACATAGTCGTGCGCTGGAGCGATTGTGGCATAAAACCAAATCTCAGCAAGCATTCACCCTATATACCGTATTTTTTGCTCCATAAGACGCACCTAGGTTTTAGAGGAGAAAAAACAAGAAAAAAATATTCTGAACCAATGGACTGCAGACACAGTACAGGAAGTGACCAGACACTGCAGACATAGTACAGGAGATGACCAGAGACTGTAAACATAGTACAGGAGATGACCAGAGACTGCAGACATAGTACAGGAGATGACCAAAGACTGCAGACATAGTACAGGAGATGACCAAAGACTGCGGACACAGTACAAGAGATTACCAGAGACTGCAGACAGTACAGGAGAAGGACCAGAGACTGCGGACTGTCAGGAAGCGAGGAGCCAGACACACAAGGAGGTGCAATTAAAGGTAGGTTTCTTTACACAGAAACAAGGCAAGAGTCTATGCAAGTCCGACAGCAACAGCGGATGACTTGGTAGGACAGAAGTTCTCCTGCCGAGGTCATCTTCCAGGATAATCAAGTCGAGAACCAGCGGGAATCGTAGCCAAAGCTGGGGTCAGAAGCCAGGAAGAATGGTCGCCAGAGCCGGGGTCAGAAGCCAGGAGGAATGGTCGCCAGAGCTGGGGTCAGAAGCCAGGAGTCTTTGCCAAAGCCGAGTCGGTATCCAGGAGAGCAATGAGTGAACTGAACAGGAGCTTGCTGCTGTGCAACAGACAGGACACAAATGCAATGGACAGCTACAAACAGCAGACTTAAATGTGATAAGCAGCCACCTCCTGGGAGGAGCTGCAAGGGCTGAAAGCATAAAGGATACCACAATGCTTTGCAGACACCTAAGATGGATGCCAGCACATGGAGCAGCACAAGCCCTGAGGAAAGGTAGGACCTTGACACGGACATAGTACAGGAGATGACCAGAGACTGCGGACACAGTACAGGAGATGACCAGAGACTGCAGACAGTACAAGAGATGACCAGAGACTGCGGACACAGTACAGGAGAAGGACCAGAGACTGCGGACACAGTACAGGAGAAGGACCAGAGACTGCGGACATAGTACAGGAGATGATCAGAGACTGCGGACACAGTACAGGAGATGGACCAGAGACTGCGGACATACTACAGGAGATGGCCAGATACTGCAGACATAGTACAGGAGATGACCAGACACTGCGGACACAGTACAGGAGATGACCAGAGACTGCGGTCATAGTACAGGAGATGACCAGAGACTGCGTACACAGTACAGGAGATGACCAGAGACTGCGGACATAGTACAGGAGATGGACCAGAGACTGCGGACAGTACAGGGGATAACCAGAGACTGCGGACAGTACAGGGGATGACCAGAGACTGCGGACACAGTACAGGAGATGACCAGAGACTGAGGACAGTACAGGGGATGACCAGACTCTGTGGACCTTTAGGGAGGGAGGGGGAGCGGGTACCTGAATTTGACACTTCCACTTCTGCGGAGCTCTCCTTCCTATACTGTGGGCACCCGGCTTTGACAGCCGGGTGCCCACTGCGCATGTGAAGAAGCGCTGCGCTTTGTGAATGGCCCCTTCATCTCCTGGGACCTGTCATGTGTCCCAGAAGACGCCGGACCATTCACAAAGCGCAGCGCTTCTCGTGCATGCGCAGTGGGCACCTGGCTGTCACAGATGCCGGGGCAGGAAGAAGTCGGTGCGGGAAGACTACAGCGCTGGACCAAGGAACAGGTGAGTTCCTGCCGCAGAGAACAGCTGAGCGGCCGGCCTGGTATTCTGACATGGTGGCGGAGGAAATACCGGACCGGCCGCTTTATATTTGCTCCATAAGACGCAGTGACATTTTCCCCTTTTTTGGGGGGCAAAAAAAGTGCGTCTTATGGAGCGAAAAATACGGTAAATCTGTTCTCTTAACATACAAGTTCTCCCTTCATGCTGCCAAACAAGCCTACTTTGTCACTCTTATTAATACCTTGTCATCCAGTCCTCATCGTCTCTTCTCTACTTTTAACTCTCTACTTTCTCCACCTCCACCCAGTACCTCACTCACTGCTCATGAGATTGCAAATCATTTCAAAAACAAGATTGACGCAATTCGTAGGGGCATCGCCACTGCACAGACATCCATCCCACTTAGCATACCTTATACTAAACCTCCCTCAACACTTTCCTCTTTTGACCTTGCCACTACCGAAGAGGTCACTAAGGTTTTCTCAGAAGCCCGTCTCACTACCTGCCCCCTGGATCCCCTCCCAACTACTACGGTCACTCTTTTCTTCCATCCTATGCTCCCTCACTCACATCTTCAATCTTTCCCTCTCTACTGGTGCCTTCCCCTCCCCTCTAAAGCATGCGCACATCACTCCCATACTTAAAAAGCCCTCCCTGGACCCCACCAACCTGAACGTAAGACCCATCTCCCTGCTGCCATTTACCTCTAAACTCCTAGAATGCTTAGTCTACAATCGCCTGAGCTCCCACCTCACCGACAACAACCTTCTTGACCCTCTACAGTCTGGCTTTCGCTCACTACACTCCTCTGAAAAACTGCCCTACTAAAACTCACTAATGATCTACTAACTGCTAAAACCAATGGCCACTACTCTGTACTCTTACTACGTGACCTCTCTGTGGCTTTTGATATGGTTGACCATCCCCTCCTCCTCAAAAAAACTCCACTCTCTTCGCCTCAGAGACTCTGCTCTCTCCTGGTTCTCCTCCTACCTATTGCAGCACTCCTTCAGTGTTACCTATAACGCTGCCTCCTCCTCTTCACTCCCTCTTTCTGTAGGGGTCCCTCAAGGTTCTGTCCTTGGACCCCTACTCTTCTCCATCTACACCTCCTCCCTTGGTCACTTGATAAACTCTCATGGCTTTAAGTACCATCTCTATGCTGATTACACACAAATCTATCTTTCTACCCCTCACCCCACCCCTTCAGTCTCCTCTCGCATCACTAATTTCTAAGTGACATATCGGCATGGATGTCACTCCACTTCCTCAAACTCAATCTTTCCAAAACTGAGCTCTTAGTATTCCCACCAGCCCGTGCCCCCTCCCCTGACTTCTCCATCAAGATCATTAACACAATCATCAGTCCCTCCCCTCATGCCAGGGTACTAGGTGTAATCCTAGTCTCCCATCTGTCCTTTCAGCCCCAAATCCAATCACTGTCCAAATCTTGTAGACTTCACCTCCACAACATCTCCAAGATAAGCCTATTCCTAACCTCGTAAACTACTAAGCAACTTATCCACTCCCTTGTTATACCTCGCCTTGACTATTGTAACTCCCTCCTCATTGGCCTACCTCACCACAGGCTATCCCCTCTTCAGTCTATCATGAATGCTGCTGCCAGAATCATCCACCTTATTAACCGTTCTGTATCTGCCATCCCTCTCTGCCAATCCCTCCACTGGCTTCCCGTTGCCCAACGGATAAAATTCAAAACACTAACAATAACGTATAAAGCCATTTATAACTCTGCCGCAAATTACATCACTGATTGTGTCTCTAAATATCACCCAAACCGTACTCTCCACTCCTCGCAAGACCTCCTACTCTCTAGTTCCCTTGTCTCCTCCTCCCATGCTCATCTCCAGGACTTCTCCAGAGCTTCCCCCATCCTCTGGAAATCTCTACCCCAATTTATCAGACTAATTACCTACTCTGCTCACTTTTAGGCGATCTCTAAAAAACCTATCTCTTCAGGGAAGCCTATCCTGCCCTCAGCTAATACTGGAATCTTCTACTCTTCCAACCAGTCCATCCCCCACAGTTACAACCTTTTGTACCACTAGCCCCTCCCTCCAAATTCCAAGGAGCAGGGCCCTCAAATCCCTCTTGTATTGAACTGTATTGTCTCCCGTTATATTGTCTAGCGCTGAGCAAACTGTTGGCGCTATATAAATCCTGTATAATAATAATAACATGGAAGAACAGAGGATTCACAACTGCTGCAGGAGAACCAATCCAAAATTGGAAATATGTTCAGGAACTCTTTGAAGCGGTCACCCTCCCAAGGGAAGTAGCCATCTTGAAGGCCAAGGCACATACTGGAGGACAGACTATGGAAGAAAAAGGAAATCAGCTGGCTGACCATATAGCCAGACAGACTGCTGAGAATTCAATAGAAAAAAGTATGACCTTAATCGCTGACTATGCCAAGGAAGAAGAAGAAGCTTGCATAAGAACTGAGAAGGAGAGAGAGCGAATAAAGAAGGCAAAATAACTGATTAGGAAGTTGCAATAATCTGCAACCGATGGTTGGTATGAGATCATGGAAAGAGATGGAGCAAAGAAAAACCAAGATGGATTGCTGTGCATAGATAATGCAATATGTGTCCCACCTCAAACAGAGAAAATGATCATGCAACTAGCCCATGGCCCAGGTCATGTAGGGGGGGGGGGGGTCTGAGGTCTGCCTGTGTCAGGGACAATGAGGACTAGAAGTCCCAGCATGGATGGGACAGAAGGGTGGCAGCCAGCAAACCTGGAGGATGGGGAAGGAAGGACCAGCTCTGTGACACCACCTAAGACAGGGTTGTGTTTTCCACATCAGACTGCTGTAATTCATAATGACCTTGTTTCTTATGTAATTGCCTTACACAAGCAATTAATTGCAACGCACAAGCTTGTTTTTGATTCCATTCCAGATCAAGTAACTGGAACACATGACTTACAGCCAGATGACTGGGTCCTAGTAAAAGAACATGTAAAGGTGCCCTTGGGACCAAAGTTTGAAGGACCCTACCAAATACTCCTGAAAACTGCCACAGCTGTAAAATTAGAAGGAAAACAGACGTGGATACATGCCAGCCATTGCAAGAAAAAACAGCCAATCTCAAAAGATGAGTAAACTGTTGTTATGCCTTTGCTTGATTACAGTTGACCACTGTAATCAATAGATGGCAAATCATGTGACCCATGTATCAAGACTACTAGAATAGGATCCATAACCACTAGAATATTACTATGGCATTCTCATTATCAATGTGAAGGCACAGTAACTGACACTTGTGTATACAATGAAACCGCTTATTCAACGTGCACTGTAGGGAACCAGGCAACCTGTTATGACCCCACCTATGAACCCACCAAAACTTGGTTAACCATACGAAGCTTCGGCTCCACAGGAAAGCTGATAAACCGTACCCTGATAACTAACCCTAATGCTGCAAGCCTGATCTTTGATGTATATTAACTGAGGTTTTTTTCTGTTTAAAAAAAAAAAAATTTTGTTACAGAGAACTTGCTGAGTTTTGTTGTCCCCCACTGCACTTCCTATAATTAGTTTTACAAGTGACACATACAGACCCAGCTCCCCCCCCCCCCCCCCCCCCCCCATCTTAAAATCTTGTGCTTCCTATCTACTTAAGCTAGAGAAATAAAAAGCAGAAGTATGAAACCGCAAAAGATATTTGCTAGCAGCTCAAAGATTACTAAGTACTAAGGAAATATATATATATTTAGTCTGTTGTGCATTTAATTCTGCTAAGATTTTTTTTTGCTAATGAATAAAAGTCTTGTTGCTCATAGGAACCACAATTGTAGGATTGCTTGCCTATTTGTTTTTTTTTTTTCAGGTGTACTAAGTGTGGAATACAAAAGATTACTACCATGACAGTTAACCTCCCTGGAGGTATTCCCGAGTGTAGCTTGGGATAAAGTTTCAGCACCACAAGCGGTAACCCCGAGCTACACTCGGGAACACCTTGCAGCGCTGCTCCGGGATCTCTTCTTCACCTACCTTGTCCTGCACTCCCGTGATGTCCCTCCTGCAATGTCCTCCGGCTGATGCCAGAATCCGTCTTCTGGGTTCCGTTCCCTGCGTCATCAGGACGTATGGGGACGGAATGGCGGGAAATTTAAAAATGTGAAATAGTGACATTCATTAAATACACTAAAATCACATAGTAAAACAATACTGTATCAAACCATTTCACATACATTTTGTCCCTAGTGCTTTGTCCTGTGCCCTGCCTGCATTTTTACTGTTCTTTCTGCCTGGAAACTGAGAAATGTCCATGGCGTCCAAAAAGCGTCCCTTTAGGTCAAAAGCGGTTTTAGACCAGCTAGAAAACAGTGATAGTAAATTAGAACTACTTGCAGAATTGAGTGATGATTCGTGTGGAAATTCGTCATCAGACACTGAAAACGATTCTGCGACTTTGCTCAGTGACGTGTGAACTTGGTGCTATATTTCAAATTTCAGTGTTTTTGGTTTAATTATATTATTGAATTAAATTTATTATTATATTGTTATTTTTTGTATGGTTATTAAATTATAATTTATGATTTCGTGTTTCAAATTTTAACATACCTGAGATGTTTACTAGACTCTTGTTCGGACAGATTTCAGTGAGTTATTCCTAAAAATTACAGGCCTACAATAAAAAAAATACATATTTCCATGCAAACAATTTGTACTG